TTTGTCTCATTTTATCAGTGTGGGTTTGAAGTCTACTTTGTCCGAGATAAGTATTGCTAGTCCTGCCTGTTTTTGGGGACCATTGGCTTAGTAAATCTTCCAGCCTTTCATCCTAAGCCTATGTTTATTTTTATCGATGAGATGGGTCTCCTGTAAGCAACAAATTGTTAGATATTCCTTTTTAATCTAGTTTGTCAAATGGTGTCTTTTGATGGGGGAATTAAGTCCGATAAAATGGAGTGTTAGTATTCATAGGTATGGTAATTCCTGTCTTTTAGTTGTCTCAGTTGTTTAAGAGTTTGATTGTGCACAGCTAAATCAATGTTACTCTCTACTCTCTTGCCTTTTCTTCTCCTGTGATTTGGTACTGGCTGTCCTTTCATGGTTATGTTGGTTTTCACTTTCTTTGTGTAGACTCTCTTGAAGAATCTTTTGTAGTGGTGGCTTTGTGGTCACATATTGTTTTAGTTTCTGCTTATCATGGAAGGCTTTTATTGCTCCACCTATTTTGAATGATAGTTTTGCTGGGTAGAGGATCCTAGGGTTGAAGTTATTTTCATTCAGTGCCCGGAAGCCTTCACCCCATGCTCTTCTTGCTTTTAGTGTTTCTGTTGAGAAATCTCCTGTGATTTTGATGGGTTTACCTTTGTAAGTTATTTTTTTCTCTCTTACAGCCTTCTATATTCTTTCTCTGTACTTGGTGCTTGTTGTTGTAATGATAATATGTTGTGGGGTAGGTCTATTTTGGTCAAGTCTGTTTAGTGTCCTGGAGCTTCCTGTACCTGAATGGGCATAGTTTTCTCTATATTTGGGAAGCTTTCTGTTATTATTTTGTTAAATATATTACAAATTCCTTTTTCTTGCACCTCTTCTTCTTCAATGCCATTGATTCTCAGGTTTGGTCCTTTGATGGAGTTGTTGAATTCTTGCATGTTCCTTTTACAGGTCTTGAGTTGTCTAAGTAGTAGTTCTTCAGTTTTTCCTTTAATTACCATTTCATCTTCAAGTTCTGAGATTCTGTCTTCTGCTTGTTCTAGTCTGCTGGATTGGCCTTCCATTTTGTTTTGCATTTCTGTTTTGTTCTTTTTTTCTGAGGTTTTCCATATCCTGTGTCACTGCCTCTTTAATATTGTCTATTTTCATCCTGAGTTCATTTATCTCCCTATTTATGGTGTTCTTTGTTTCACTTTGGTGTTTATACAGTGCTTCTATAATTTCTTTTATTTGTTCTTGTGCTTTTTCAAATTCTCTATTTTTGTTGTCTTGGTATTTCTTGAGTGTCTCCTGTACATTTTGGTTGATCATATCCAGTATCATCTCTATAAAGTTCTTGTTGATTACTTGCAGGATTTCTTCTTTCAGAGTGTTCTTGTGGGTTCTTTGTCATAGTTTATCTTTGTTTTATTGGAGTCTAGATCTGGGCTTTTGTTTTTTTCATTTCCCTCTGGTTCCTGTACTAATTTATTATTGGGGGAAAAATGGTTTCCATCTTTTTTCTGCCTTCCCATCATTTCACTTGCTGCTGTTACTGTCCTTGTACTGTGTGCAGTTTAGTATTGTCTAGCTAGTAATAGTAAAAATGAGTGAAAGGGTAGGAGGAGAAAGAAAACAAAGGTAAGGAAAAAAGAAAGGAGAAGGAACGAAAGATACAAAGCCAAAGAAATAAACAGGGAGAGATAGTGTACTAATCTGCAGTGAGCTAAACAGGCATTAGAGAGACAGAGAAAGAGGAAAAAAAAAACCCCAGGTTCAAATGCAATAGAGTTTCAACCTTAATATTTCTATTTCTGGTGTTACATCTTCAGCATCCAGTTGGTGTTTGAATAGTAGTTCTGTCGTTGTCACATATAAGGAAAAAAATAGAAAATGTATCTAAAACTATAAAAGAATAAAAGTTGCAGGTCCAGAAACCATGCCATTTCCATCTTAGTAGTTGTAGTGTTGTTCCTTCAGCATCCAGTCTTGGTGTTGTTATTTAACTGGTAGCTCTGTGGTTATCTCACCAGGTTATTGGATCTGGAGACAGCTTGGTGAACCTTTATCTGCTCTGTTTGAGGGGGGCAGCTCACCTGGTACCTACTGTCAGCCTGCTGCTGCTGCGGGCTTCATTTATTACAGTTCTCAGGGATGAGTTATCACACTCACCTAGTCCAGCTGGCTTTATTTACAGTTCTTCTGGACACCTGCCCCTTTTCTTTTCTCCAGTGTACAGCCCTACCAGCCTGCTGCAATTGCAGTCCTTGTTTATTTACAGTTGATGTGGGGACTGCCCTCCCCTACTCTCTGGTGGTGTGTGCCTTATGTCAGTCACTGTTGGAAGCCTACCCTCTCCAAGCACGCTGGGGGGTGGTGCTATACCCTCCTTCTCTGGCTGGCTTGTTTATTTACAGTTCACGTGGGGAAGTGCCCCTCCCCCTCTCTCTGGTGAAGCATGCTGCTCCTCAGCCGCTGTTGGAAGCTTTCCCCTCTCCAAGCTCTCTGTGGGGGACTTCACCCCTGCCTTCTTCTTCAGGCTTGTTTATTTAGAGTTCACATGGGGAAGTGCCCCTCCCCCTTACTCTGGAACTCAGGGTGCCCTGCCCTCTTTGTTATGTGTCCTTTTTTTCAGTTGCTTGTTTATTATTAGTTTTTTTTTGCTGGGTGGGGGTCAGTCTGTCCAGCAGGATATGCTGATTTTTCTCAGGGGTGGCTGTGGGAGAACTGCATGCCACTTATTGCTCACCTGTGGGTCTGTCAAGCAGGTTAGGAGCCAGTACCTGGTGGCATGGGAGCCCTCCTGGTTTCTCCATATTCCATGACGTGGGGGAGCTATGTGTGGGCTTGGGGTGCAGAGGTCGAAGTTTTGCCTCTTCTTGGTGGTTTTTCCTGTCCGGTGTGTCTCCAGCATCTCAGGAAAATTTTTACTTTAAGGAACACACGCTATTGCTTCTCCCTCTAGTTGCCATCTTGGAAAAACCCCTAAATCTTTTTAAAATTTAAACTCCTACATTAAATGAGGTATAAGAACTAAATGAAATACTTGATATGGAAATGTGTGTCACAGCAAACAGTTTGTAGCAAGGAAGTACCTTTCTCTTGAGCAGAAGCAGTTTCCCAAGGACTAAAACAAAATTTTACTATTTCTTTTGCAAAGAGGAAACTGCATTTATGTAGTAGGTCACAGAAATACCTTTTTCATTTCATAATAAAATGTAGTTGGAGCTCCAATTAATTTCTCTTCACACTTTGTACTTGTACCCCATGTTGTCTGGACTTGTCCTGGCTTGTTACAGAAAGCCACCTAATTTCAATTTGTGCTCAGGCTTACTCATTTTGAGGATAAAGTTCTCTGCCTACTTACCATGATTCCAACAAAATAAACAATTTGATAATGGATAAAAATTACAAACATATGGAGAAAACAGAGGGAAAGGAATGGGGAAAAGCTGGTCCATGGTTACTAGTTACAGTTGTGTAAGAGGAATTAGTTCTGGTTTTCTATTGCATAGGGTGACCATAGAGAATGTTAATGTACTATGTATTTAACAATGATCAAAGAAAGGGTATTGAGTGTTTTCACCACAAGGAAGTGGTACATGTTAGAGAAGATAGATGCAGTTTTCCTGATCTGAATATTATACACAATCCACATATGGAAACATCACATGATAATCTTTAAGTGAATATGGTTTTATGTGTCAATTAAAGAAGCAAAAAAAATTTAATAAATAATAAAGGAATTACAAAGAAGAGTAAAATTATGTTTCTTTTAAAATTATTATCAGTAATGCAATAAGTCAGCCTCATTCACAGATTTATTACTCTGTCAAAAATAATATATCAAAAATTCAAAAGACAGTGCAAAATCAAATATTTTAAGTTCCTGCATCTGCACAATGTAGCTCAGTTGCTGAAAAGAAGCTCTCAGTTTGTCCTATAATATCATCAGTGGTGTTTAAACCATTGTATGATCTACTGTTTTCCTGCTCTTAATTTTTCTTGCCCCTAAAATAAACCTCCCCAAAAGCAAATGGTACCCAAAAGCAAGGTAAAAAGTTAATGTGTTTAATTGAAGTGATAAAGTGAAAAATTCAGATTTGCTGAAAAGTGGCATGTCTTTATCAGAAGTTAGGTGGTGTTATAGGAGAATGAATGAATCACCTACAGCACAGTACCGAACTCTGTGTATCTTGAGCACTCATGGCTTTTCCTCAGTGGCTGCCACCTTGAAACCATATACCTAGAGATACCAGGGGCTTAATATACTGAGGTTTTAACTCAGGGTCTTCCTTGGTAAGGTCTTTACCATTAGAGCCATGCTTCCAGTCTTTCTTTTTCTTTTTGCTTTTGTTTATTTTTCAGATAGGGTCTCATACTTTGTACCCAGGGATAGCCTTAGGGTGTGATCCTCCTGCTTCTGTCTTCCATGAAGTTGGGATTACAGATGTGGAGCAACACACCCAATCTGTTTTTTTCAGATAGGGTCCATCTAACTTTTCCCTGGCTGGTGTCAAAATATGATCTTCCCATCTCTGCCTCCCATATAACTGGGATTATAGGTGTGAATCACTATGCTCAGCCTGGAAAACTAAATTCTATTAGCGATTACTCACACAAATAAATTTCAAGTAAATTAAATTAAATTCGAAAGTAAAAATAATGAAAACAGCAAATGTAGTATTTTTGTTACCTTGGGAAAAAAACCTTTGCTATAAGAGGTGATTATCACACTCCCCCCCCACAAAAAGACTAAAATCAGGAACCACATAAAATGTAAAATGTTTGTAGGGCAAGAATACTATGTGAAAAGGAAAAATGTTCAGGTGCTTGCAGAAACCTTCCACAAGACTATAAAAAACAATATTACAGCTGAACAGTGGGAAAACTCCATCTGAGGGAAATGAGTGCTGAGAAAAAAGTGTTACATTAAAATTCCCTAAAAACAGTAATTCACAAAGGAAAGGATGCATGGGTGGTATTGAGAAATTCTCATGTCAAGTTAATAGGAAAGTCAGTGTCCATCATCTTGAAAAAGACCCTCTACTGAGGATGTTACCCAGTGCTCCTTTCATATCCTGGTTCCTCAGACTGTAGATAAAGGGATTCAGCATGGGTGTGACCAGTGTGTACAGCACAGACACAATGACATCCTTGTCATTAATGTTATTGGATGAAGGGATAAAGTATAGCCCGATAATTGCTCCATAGTACAGAGCAACCACAGAGAGATGAGAGCCACATGTGGACAGGGCTTTGCAGATTCCCTTGATGGAAGGAGTTCTTAAGATGGTGGCCCCAATGTGGCTGTAAGAGACCAGAATGCATATGAATGGTACAGTGATGACTACTACTCCTACAGTGAGGATAACCAGATCATTCATTGTAGTGTCTGAACTGGACAACTTAAGTAAAGCAGAGAGATCACAGAAGAAGTGAGGTAGAGTGTTGTCTACATAGAAAGAAAGATGGGCTAGGAGGAGGGTGTGCACAAGGGCACTGGCACAGGATAAGACCCAGGACATAATAAGTAACAGTAAACATAAACTCTGAGTCATGATTCTGGGATAGTGCAATGGATGACAGATGGCCACATATCTGTCATATGCCATTGAGGTAAGAAGGAAACTGTCAAGATCCCCAAATAGTAAAAAAAAGTACACCTGGGAAATGCACCCAGCATATGAGATGGATTTACTGTGTGTCAGCATATTCATGAGCATCTTTGGAGCTGTGACTGATGAGAAAGAGATGTCAGTGAAGGCCAAGTGGCTGAGGAAGAAGTACATGGGGGTGTGGAGGTGAGAGTCCAGCCTGATAAACAGGATAATGAGCAGGTTCCCCAGCACGGTGGTCAGGTACATGGTCAGGAACAGGGCATAGAACATGCCTTGCTCCTCTGGCAGGATGGGGAGCCCCAGGAGGATGAATTCAGACACACTGCTCTGATTACCTCTCTTCATACTCCTCTTCTTCTCTTTTGCTTCAGATATAAAAGGAATAAAAGTGTGAAGACATACAAGTCATTGCGATTTCATGTAATAAAAATGATTTTATAAACTAGTCAATAAGTACATTTTACTTGAATTATCTCAAAGTTTTGGCACTAATAGTCTGACCAAAGCACATCATTTTTCCACTTCCTAGTAAACTCAACATTCTTTGTAGAAACCTATCAGTTCATACCAGGATCATATCTGAGGATCTATGTGGAAATCTGAGATTAAGTACTTAGGTTCAAGGTCAGGTGAGTAACAAGTTAATTGAACATAATAGATCTTTTATCATTTGTTGCTTCCCTTAACCTTGCCCATGCCTCTGAAACACACTTTTTCTAATTCTTTATTTCCTGCAGTTTGATCAAGATGAGATTACCCAATGGGCTGCTTTAAAGCTCCAAGATATTAATATATGGAGACTTGCTGGAAATAGCATAGGTAGCAGGTCAATCAAGGGGATTAAGGCCATGATTTTAGTCCAACAATGTAAAATATCTAGTGACATCATTTGGAATGTATTTATTAGTTCTTCTTTGAATAAAATGCATTTCAACCCCACATTTTCAGTCTTCTACCATCCTTTTATATAATGTAAATTAAATGTTTATTTCTTTTTCAAATTATTTTATTGTGTATTCCCTCAACTCAAACCATATCATCCTTTTCCAAGTCCTTAGACTGCCAGGCAATATTTGACTTTTCTAGTCAAATCCCGGATCTGCCAAAGAAGGTCTTTGTGTCTATCTGACATAATCAAAGGAAACTTTTCCTTTTTTTATGGTTCCTAACTTAGCTTTTATGCCAGTGATCGTTTATAGCAATCTTCCCAGTCGTATTTCTAGTATTTCTGAATACTATAATTCCTCTTTTTCTCTGGTGGATCAGCTGTTCTTAGATATATTCATGTGAACAATATCAAATTGATAGCTAAAGAAGACAGGATGATCTGTTTACTAAAAACAGAACCAATAAACTATGCAAAGATGCATCCAATCTGAATACCTTTGTCTTGAAGAGCTAGGGTGGTGTCTCAAGTTAGGATTGATCACTCATTTTGGGAGTTAACTGAAGTTTACTCCCATCCTGAATGAAATTACTTTTAAAATTTCTACATGCTTCAGCTCAGTACATTCTTTTAATGTAATGTTGTTATCTGAGATGAATTATATATTCAGCTAAATTACTCATTATTTTGTTAATAATCAGGTTATCATAACGAAAAATTCAATTAGTTATCTTTGGACACTTACATTTTTTCTATTTTCTTTATTCAATAATATAAACATTTTCTTTAGATGTCATTTTTCACATATAAATTGTAAGATGAGTTCCAGAAATAGAATTGGAGGGAATGTATATTCATGTTTTCAATAAATCATTGAATTACAGAGGCTAAGGTGATGAGCAAGACTAAATATCTATGTGATCTTTAAAAGGAGCCCTGAATATACAAGCCTCTCATATGAAAAGCATAATGATGGATTTATGTTTATTATGAAAAACATAAGCATGTGGAGAAGAGAGGACTAGGACATTTGTAGAACAGAACAAAAAAATTAAGAATATTGTCAGTCTGGGGAAGATTTTCAGTCTTCCATCATTCTTCTATGTTAGTGTTGGACAATTATTGAGGGCTCAAATTATGTTAGACCTTTTCTACCAAAATTGAAAGTTTCAGTTCTATTATCAAAGCAATAGAATACATAAGAAAAAGATAAAGAAAAAAGTGGCTGCAATTTAAATATGTTACTGTCTACTGTCATACAGATAACATTATATCAAAATAAGGGTGTCAGTAAGAATCTGATTTTTGGGATAAATTCAGAAGAAAACCCAACAAGACTGAGTGAGGGGAGTAAAGATAAGGGCTGAAAGATATATTTCCTATTCGGTTTTCAAAAAGTAGGTATTAAAACATTTTGAGATAAATTCTTCTACAAGGAGATTTGGTTTTGCCCTATCATGTCAAAATTGGATAACCAATTCAAGACAAATTACACAGAGTTTGTCCATTGTAATGCAAGGGGGATAGAATCTAAGGATAAGTAACACACTGGATACACACATAAGCACACACAAAACATATAGATACCATACTACTGAATGGTACCATGATGTACACCTGGTCTTACCTGGTCTCTTAGTTGAAGAGCACAGATAACTTCAGGTACAAGGCATGGGGAAATTTTTCTACTTATCTCTAGAAGTCATGGAATGCAGTTAAATGGGTGGAGCTTCTTAAGAGCTCCATATTGTAAGGAGACAAGCAGAAGAGTTATCAGTTCACAACCAAAGATGATACATATACTGATACAGTTATGGCCACAAATCCTGAGAAATTGGTGTGAGTTCTAATTTTACAAACCATGAAGAGGCCCCAGGGAGCAAAATACCCCCACACAGCCCTGAATTAGGGAAAACAGGATATAATTGCTTCATTGCCTTTGCCTCCCTTGGGGGAAGAACTACTTAGGGAAGCAGTCATAAGAAAGTTCACCTTGTAGAAATAACAATAACAATCACAAGGCAGCCGTTAAGAACTTGGTAGTTTACAAATGTCTTGCCTTTTTAGTTTACACTAGAGAAATGTGACTTGGACTTCATAATAAACCAAGCTGGAGACTGAGTGTTTTAATCAAAGCTTCTTGTTTCTGAAACTCCTGCTATTTCAAGAAACACCAGAAATACTCTTGATTCCTTCATTCTTTGACCAAACTTAAATCTCATTATCACCATTTGACCATGGGGTTTGGAATATAGTGCCTATAAATGTCAGTCTTTTGCTAGGAAGCAATGGGTTTGTCATTCCATCGATAGGAGTCTCTCACAATGTTATAATATACCCTTCAATGTGTGCTTTCACTCAAACTCTTTAAAAACTGGTCCCACATCTTCCAATATGTCTCCAGCTCTATTTCTTCAATGCCTGGTAGAAAATGAATACCTTGTGCTCATTACTCAAGTAGAAAATGTATAAATATAAATTTTGGTGATTGGTTTTTTTTATGGTAAAAATAAACTCATATATGCTACCATTTTCTTACTTTCAGTGAAGAAATCCAGAAGCTATTTAGAGTTTTGGAATGGAGAACAGAATGATCACCTGTACCCTTGATGATAATGCCACAATTGGTCTTCCTGTTCTTCTGGAAGTCTAGGGTGATAAAATGCACTTTTTAAATCATAGAAACATCATTGTCAACCCTCTCTTTTCCTATGTTCATGGACGTAAAAATGGTTGATGACTGCATGATTTCCCCATTGATTAAACACTATGAGCAAAAGGCTCTCTTTGAGTTAACAAATGACAGAACTACTTCCCTCAGTACTTAATACCAACTCCTGGAAGACCTTCAGCTTCATTCCCTTTCACATCACCTTTCTCCAGTCTTTTTGAGTCCTATCCAAATCTTTCCCCTATAGTAGCTTTTTTAAAAATGGTAACATATCCTCAAATATGAAGACATAATAAAATTACATATTTAAGCCTAACTCAGTGTGACTGAATTTGGAGATAAGTTCACAAATGAACTAATTAATGTTAAATGAAATCATAATGATGGTATCTTGATCCATTTTCTGGCAGTTCTTGCCCTCCAGTGCACATCTCAATGCACTGTTAGTTTCCCCCCACTCTCCTACTTGGTTGGGAGATACTGCTAGGCTCGGACATTTGCTGCTTTTAGGTTCACAGACTGAGGGCCTCTGGGGAAAGTAGGAACCTGTATTGCCCACAGGCCACAACGTTTGTTGGGTCTAGCAGTGGCTGCAATTAGGTAAAGAAGGAAACTTCTTGAGTGAATGCAACCATGATGTGGACAACTGACACTGGGTCCACCCTCAGCTCAGTCCAATAAAGCACCTATCTGAGCAGTAGGAACTAAAATAGATTCCAGAAATGACTTACTAGCTCCCCCAGCAGATTAAATGAGCATCCAGAAAAATTAACCTGTCCAATTCTTGCCAATATTTAAACATTTTCATTCCTTCTAAAAAAGCTTGTTAAAATCATACTTTAGTATGTTTACCTTTATATTTTTAGCTTATATTAAATCATAAAAAGGTCTTATTTGTATATTTCCCTATATCCTCTAAGTGTGTTGATCAATTTCACCTTTTCTGTTTCTCTTTTATCTCCCTCATTTCCTCTTTTCGATAATTTTGTAATGGATTTTTTATTCTGCTTTCTTATAACATGAATGTTAAAGTACACCAATTATGTTCACCCCCTTCATCCTTTCTCTTTCACACTTTCCCTTTCTCACCCCCAAATACTCGCTGCTTTACACTGGTCATTAAAATTTTTTTTTTGACCTGGAAAGCCCTTGGAGAGAGAAAAAAATACAGCCATGGCTTACTTTCCTGACAATGGACATAAATTCATTCTTCTGATGCCTAATAACATATGTGCATATATAGCACGATGTTTCTTTATTCTTTGGTCGATGGGCACCTAGCTGATTCATAATTACCATTTATGACTATGCTAACGATAAACCTGGGTGTGTTAGTAATTTGTATGCTCACTACATTCTGCACTTTCATGCCCTCTGTATAACGAATCAAATATGAAGAATTTTTTAGTGTTTTTGAGGAACTCCGATACTATTTTCATTTAGCCGTACTAATTTACATTCCCACAAAAAGTGCTGTATAGGGTTTTGTTTCCCTTACATCATGCCAGCATGTGCTTTTTTTATGTTTGCTTTTTTTGAGGGGGTTCTGACTAACTCAGGGTCTTTGTCTTTTGCATCTCTACCACTTAAACGTCCCCCAGCTTTTTTATGCTTAGCTACTTTTCACGTATCCAGCTTGAATTTTTTGCCCACGGCCTTACCTGGGATTGTATTTACAATTAATATATGGGATGATATCACACTTCCATGGCCCCACATTTTCATGTTGATGGCATCTCAACAAACCATTTTGCCCAGGCTGGCCTTCCAAACTATAGCCTCCTGATC